TGCCTTGATTTCAAGATGATTCTAGCTTTGATGAGATTCTCATCAGTTCTATCCACGTGTAGTTGAAACGATGCTTTCCAAGTAGGTAGGTTGGTGGGTAGGTGAAGGAGGTTGCTTCTTTCAGATTCCTCCCATTTCTACTGGCTGATTGTTGTCTGTTGTTGTTGCTGTTGCTGTTGGCGGTCAGGAATCTTCATCATCACCATATATGTTTCCTCTGTGTTCACCTGAAGTTAAGTCCTATCTTCTCTGGATGCTTCTTCTACCAACTTGTTGCTTTTCACTTGCATATCTTCCAGTTTGTGGGAAATCAAACATATACCACTGGCGAAGTCCAGATCCTCCAAATTCTTTTTTTGTGTGGGTCTATTTTATGCATGTCTCCTCTTTGACCACCTTTCTATCTGTCACATTATTCAGTCTGTCGCAAGCAGGAAAATCATTGGAGATAGTAAGCAGCCAGCCAACCTTGTCTTACTCCCGTCTTCACCTCGAAAGACTCCGTGAGTTCCCTGTTGTGGGTAACTTGGTATGTAGCATTGTTGCATAGCTGTTGAATGAGGTACATAAATGTTGGCGGCACCCCGTAGTATCGAAGCAGTTGCCAAATCACCTCTCAATCGAAGGCCTTTTCACAGTCGGTGAAGTTGAAGTGGAGGTAGAGAGCTGACTGCTATTACAAGCTCTGTTCAATGATGATCCATAGTGTTGTGATTTGATCTATGCATGATTTGTTCGTCCTGAATCCAGCCTGTTCCGGTCGAAGTTTTTCATTGAGGTCGTGTTTGATTCTCTCCAGGGTGATGCTGCTTGGTAGTATCTTGCATTGACTTAAGTCTCTTTTCTTTAACAGTTTGTATAAGTAGTTTTTCTTCCAATCCACAGACATACCTTTCCCTCGTTCCATACCTTCTTTAGTAGTGGTATCATCAAGTCGACTGATGTCTATGGGTCCATTTTCAATGCTTCTGCAGGGGTTTCATCCGATCCTTCTGCTTTTCCAGTTTTTAGCATCTTTATTGCCTTCAGGATTTCTGTTTTCACTGGGAGGTTGGTATCCACTGCTATTATTGGGCACGTCATAGGCGGAGATCGATTAAGAAGCCGTTTGAAGTGTTCCACCCAGCGTTTCCTTTACTCCACCATTTTTTTGGTGACTGACTTCCCCTTGTCATTCTTCCCTAGCTTAATTTGTATTGGGCGTTGAAGATTAGGTGTAGACAATTTCGTCACATATGTATGTATATAGAGATACTAAATCCCAATATAAAAAATATTTGCTTTACCATGTCTCTTGTCTTCCACCTTGTACAATAAACAGCTAATATACTTTTACTGACAGGGGTGAAACAAGTACTTTTTTTCTCACTTTAGACTTAATTAAAAACTTACAATCAATATCACTAGGGTAGTATAGTCTAATATATGTATGAAACTGTTTCCTTTGAGGGAGATACACAGGTGAATTTCAATCCAGTACACAGCATAAATCACAACTTTAGGCCACAAGTGATTCATATTAACGGAAATTGTAAGGTGACTTAAGTAGTAGTCTGTATGTGTTTTTAGATAGGAATCTTGTTGATTAAAACAAAAACGCCGCTTAACTCTTATTAAACTATATGCCTATGAAAGACGTGATAGGTTATGCTGTCTACCTAACTAAAACATGATTCCAAAATTACTGAAATAGTTGGATATACTGATTAGTCAATAAAACGATCTATTTATAGAAAACCTACCTGAACAGGACATGACAGCACAGGACAGTATCTTAATTACTACAGTTTCAGCCCTGTTCTTCAGGAATAAAGAACCTTAGTGAGTGAGGCACCTCTTCAGTAGAATCCAACGAATATGCATTGAAGACAGACACACTTGATTGTGAGGAAGAAAGAAAGTTGACACACAAACTCTGGTTGATAACAGTTATCCAGACAAGTTAATTAGGAAATATAAAGTAGTCAGAACACCAATACCCACTCTCCAATTTGCTGCTAAGAAAGGTATTTACATCAAGCTACCCTATATGGGCGGGGTGGGGGCATCATAGGAGCTTGACAACTAGACAAAGATTGAACGCTACTGATAAAAAGACGTTTTATGCAG